AAGAAATTCCTTTATTTCAAAAAATCCTGTAGGATTTATTTTTAGGGATAAATATATGATTCTTACACCAAATTAAAGATAAAATCTTGCTCTTTAAAATGGCGTATAATAATTTGCTACAACATTGGCTTGAAATAAATTATAACGAAAATATTGATTAATAATTAAAATTTTCAAGAAATTCGTTTATTTCAAAAAATTCTGCAAGCTGTATTTTAAGGGATAAAGATATGATTCTGACACTAAATTAAAGATAAAACCTTGCTCTTTAAAATGGCATATAATAATTTGCTACATCATTGGCTTGAAATAAATTATAACGAAAATACTGATCAATAATTAATACTATTAAGAAATCCCTTTATTTCAAAAAATCTTACAAGCTGTATTTTAAGGGATAAAGATATGATTCTTACACCAAATTAAAGATAAAACCTTGCTCTTTAAAATGGCATATAATAATTTGCTACAAACTTGGCTGGTCANCAAGATTGTTAATTTTTTTTTTGTTTCAACCCGACGCTCGATGTAATTTTCGGGCACCTGGTGTGAATACTTTGCAACCCAAGGGTAATTTTCCATACTATTAGATCTACATATATCTATTATACATAATATATGGATACGGTGTTTTCCCATCCTTGAATTAGCAAAAAATTTTACAACATTTTTTTGTTCGCTTTAAATTATCTTAACCAACCCCAATGATGTTAATAACGTAAGTAATTGTATTGTTTCCATCAGACCGAGATATCTATATAACGTTTTCTTTCTTTCTCTTTTTGTACTCGTAGCAGCAGAGAGATCGTTTGAAATTGAATGGACCCGAAACCCCCCCTTCCTCTTGGTCACTATAGATCCGGTCGTGCCACACTGAAGTCTGTCAGCCATAATTTATGGCTGCCGTGCGATACCAGATTAAATACAAGAGTATGACATGTCCGCACTGATATCTGATGCTCCGCGTTTTCGTTCTCTCTTCAAGCTTTTTTGCGTTTGCAAAACTTTTTTTGTTTGTCTTGTTCCGCTCATTTAAAACACTTTTTTAATTATCCTTTTGTTCTTGTACTTTTTTACAATTTTTTATTTTCATAAATAAATATAATAAGAATTTAAGTACTTGATGTTTCGTCGTCAACTAGAAGATATCAAAGAAAAACATATCTTGCAACATATCATGTCTCCGTGAAGGTACCATATTGTGGATTTTCAGTTTATGCCACCTTTCTGCCAAGAGCACCTTTTGCAAATAAAAAAAAATCGTATTGCTGGATATACTCTCTATACCAAATTACATACTGGAAACGCTTTGCAACACCTCTTTTGCAAACAAACTTGGTTAAACTTGGACCAGAGAATCTGCGAGGCGTTGTAATTAATACTGTATCAACCCAAACTTAATTTCAAAAAATCCTACAAGCTGTATATTTAGGGATAAAGATGTGATTCTTACACCAAATTAAAGATAAAACCTTGCTCTTTAAAATGGCATATAATAATTTGCTACAAACTTGACTGGTCAGGCTGAAATAAATTATAACGAAAATACTGATTAATAATTAAAATTTTCAATAAATCCCTTTATTTCAAAAAATCCTGCGAGCTGTATTTTTAGGGATAAATATATGATTCTTACACCAAATTAAAGATAAAACCTTACTCTTTAAAATGGCATATAACAATTTGTTACAACATTGGCTTGAAATAAATTATAACGAAGATACTGATCGATAATTAATACTATTAAGAAATCCCTTTATTTCAAAAAATCCTGTAAGCTGTATTTCAAGGGATAAAGATATGATTCTTACACCAATGTAAAGATAAAACCTTGCTCTTTAAAATGGCATATAATAATTTGCTACACCACTGGCTTGAAATAAATTATAACGAAGATAGTGATCAATAATTAGAATTTTCAAGAAATCCCTTTATTTCAAAAAATTCTACAAGCTGTATTTTAAGGGATAAAGATATGATTCTTACACCAAATTAAGATAAAATCTTGCTCTTTAAAATGACGTATAATAATTTGCTACAATATTGGCTTGAAATAAATTATAACGAAAATATTGATTAATAATTAAAATTTTCAAGAAATTCGTTTATTTCAAAAAATCCTGCAAGCTGTATTTTAAGGGATAAAGATATGATTCTTACACCAAATTAAAGATAAAACCTTACTCTTTAAAATGGCATATAATAATTTGCTACAACATTGGCTTGAAATAAATTATAACGAAGATACTGATCAATAATTAATACTATTAAGAAATCCCTTTATTTCAAAAAATCTTACAAGCTGTATTTTAAGGGATAAAGATATGATTCTTACACCAAATTAAAGATAAAACCTTGCTCTTTAAAATGGCATATAATAATTTGCTACAAACTTGACTGGTCAGGTTGAAATAAATTATAACGAAGATACTGATTAATAATTAAAATTTTTAAGAAATTCCTTTATTTCAAAAAATCCTGTAGGCTGTATTTTTAGGGATAAAGATATGATTCTTACACCAAATTAAAGATAAAACCTTACTCTTTAAAATGGCATATAATAATTTGCTACAAACTTGACTGGTCATGTTGAAATAAATTATAACGAAGATACTGATTAATAATTAAAATTTTTAAGAAATTCCTTTATTTCAAAAAATTCTGTAGGCTGTATTTTTAGGGATAAATATATGATTCTTACACCAAATTAAAGATAAAATCTTGCTCTTTAAAATCGTATATAATAATTTGCTACAAACTTGACTGGTCAGGCTGAAATAAATTATAACGAAGATACTGATTAATAACTCAAATTTTTAAGAAATTCCTTTATTTCAAAAAATCCTGTAGGCTGTATTTTTAGGGATAAAGATATGATTCTTACACTAAATTAAAGATAAAACCTTGCTCTTTAAAATGGCATATAATAATTTGCTACAACATTGGCTTGAAATAAATTATAACGAAGAAGATACTGATCAATACTTAATACTATTAAGAAATCCCTTATTTTAAAAGATCCTGCAAGCTGTATTTTAAGGGATAAAGATATGATTCTGACACTAAATTAAAGATAAAACCTTGCTCTTTAAAATGGCATATAATAACTTGCTACAACATTGGCTTGAAGTAAATTATAACGAAGATACTGATCAATAACTAATACTATTAAGAAATCCCTTGATTTCAAAACATCCTGCAAGCTGTATTTTTAGGGATAAAGATATGATTCTTACACCAAATGAAAGATAAAATCTTGCTTTTTAAAATGATGCATAATACTATGCTACAAGGTCAAGTGGTCGGCTTGAAATAAATTATAACGAAGAAACTGATAAATAATTAATATTTATCTTGATTTCAAAAAATCCTGCAAGTTTTATTTTTTGGGATAAAGATGTAATTCTTATACCAAATTACAGATAACGTTACTGTTCAAAATGGTATGTAACAATTAAGAAATATTTCTGGTGTTCTGCGTCCAGAGTTTTGGCAAAACGGCCTCTATTCTGAATCTAGATTTGATTTTGAACACACTGAGATAATAACCACTGTACTCTCTTCTTGTTTAAGCAAAATAGTCGCTGTTCACTTCTGGTTTCATAAAGAAGCATTTCTGATTTTGGAAAAATCAATGCTGTTTAATTCTGATCTCTTCTGAATCTCTTGGTTGTGGCAAAATTGTTACATTGACTGTTCTACTTTAAAAAAAATTGGGTTGGCCTTTTTTAATGTTGGCAAAACAGTCGCTGGTTGTTGTCCAATCTCTCTCTTGGAGAATTTCTGACCATTCTATTGCAATTGATGATTTAGGGTTGAACGTATGGATGTCTCAAAGCTACCAAGGATAGCCAAAAATGACCATAATGGTATAAAAGCTCCTAGCTTGTTTAGTATCAAAGACCATCAAATCTGATGTTGGTCCATATGAAAGGATAAATTGTGTGTCATAAATATACATGTAGGGAACGTAATTTGTGAAACCTAATGGCTAATCTTATTGTCAGAAGATTAGTAAGCCTATATATACCTCCATATCTTATCCTATTAAATAATTCTGTTAAATATTTTCTTACCATTTCTTCCTCCCGTATAATCTTTCGATTCAGAATAGATCAAAAGATCCAAATCAGTTTTTGCATATACTTCGTTATAATTTTCCCAAATTAATAATATCTTTCTATATTTTTCTAATTATTCATCGAATTATCATTCTTCTCCTCCCGAATACCATGCAATAAAAGACTATCATAATGGTGGCTTCAATTTTCTGAGATTTTAATTTTTCGCATTGAGAAGGTCATCTTTAGTGAATCTACCTTTCGGAAGAATTTGTTCAAATAACTAAAATGACTTACCTTACAACCAAAAATCTTGTTGAAATCACCCCAAACGTTTTAAAACAATTAAATACAAATAAAAGCTAATTTCCAAACCAATTAAAACCACGTTTTTTAACAAAAAAAGAAATCACGTTTGTAAACACAACATCTCAAATTCGGCCATTTTAGCAACGCAAGCGCACACAACCCCTAAAAACCGTCCAACTTTCACCCTCTTCGACCACCGGGTTCTTTTTGGCCTGAACGTACCGTTTGAAAAGAAGCGGTGGTGACTTTTAGAGGTGTAGAAAAATAAGTTAAAAATGAAAATTTTACGCTTTGCAAATTGTTTCTTTTAACCCATTTTTAAAAATGAATCCGTTGGGATTTTAAAGCTGTTAACGCTTCTTTGGCGGGGTTTTAAAGTTTACCTACCACTGGAAATGTTTTATGACGGGTTGTCAAAATATTTTTGGTTAAAGAAAAAATATGATTTGGTGATGACACAAAAATTTGTATTTATTCTTTTTTATAATAAATTATTTTCTTTTAATTAAATATAATTATTTACAATTTTATTTTGATATGACTCATTTTTATTTAAATCTCAATCTTAATTTAACTTAAACTTTTAACCTAAAATCTAAGAGGAACTTGATAAAAATGTCGCTTTTTAATTTAAAACTTATTTAATAAATTCTCATTTTTGTTCTCTAATTTAATCGGTGAAAGTGATTGTTCTTCGTGTATCCTATCGTTGATTTTTAATTTTTTATCTTTCATCCGTCGATTTTGAAACCATACTTTAATTTGTTTCTCATCTAAATTTGTAATTTTAGCCAATTCCATCCTGCGCGCTTTCGTTAGATATTTTTGCCATAAATATTCTTTTTCTAATTCAAAACTTTGAGCTTTCGTATATGTTTGTCGCGTTCTTTTCGGACCTTTATGACACCTTCCATTCCAATTACTAACCATAGCTTCTGGAGATAAATTAAAATTGTTTTCAGTACTCGGACTTGGTGATTTAATTATTTCGGGATGTTCTGAACTGGATGGTGAAAATTGTCTGATTTGATTTTGATTCTGATAAGATCTTGGATAAAGTTTTGGTTCAAAATTTTCTGGTTGTTGATGGTTGTATTGATTGTAATTCGATGACTCATAGTAACAAGAATTCCAATTTTCCCCAAAATTATTTTGATAGTTGTAACTTTCTTGATTAAAAACTGGTTGTTGATGTTGTGGTTGCCCGTAAACGTTGTTATTAAATTGCGGATATTGAAAAGAACTTTCTTGGTGAGTTGTCATAATTTTAACACTTCAATTAACCAAACTTTTCAACACTAAACTGTGATTTCTATTAAGGCCAGTGGTGAACTACTACATTTTTGTCACATATCGACATCACATATCATAGGGGATCGTGTTCGCGTGGTGGGAGGGTAAAATCACCCCCTGATCCCGTCTGGGTCCATTCAATGAGAGTTTCACATCTGCACACCCACCTCCGTTTCGGAAGCCCCCGGATTTTTGCTCTTTTGTATATTTTTGCGATTGTTTGAGCTCTTTTCAAGGTTTTACCCTGGGATTGGTGGGGGGTGGATTACAACCAGGGGTGCCAAAGTCAATCTTTACTATTACCCATACAAAATTGATTTGAAAAAATTAAATTAAATAAATAAAAAGGGTCTTTAAATTTTTATTATAATCGTCAAATTTTATTTTCGGGGGTAGCTTCATCAAAATATCGGTAAATTGTGGTTAGAATTTAAGGGGTGTGATCGATAAATAATTATTGTATTCTGAAAATATTTTACGGTGAATAATCAATTTTAGTTTGAGGGTTCGTTGTGGGGAATTTGGGTAATTTTATTCTATGCTACATTTAACATCAATATTAATATACTTAATCGTATCAATGATCATCAGATTATTGATTACATTAAATTTTTTGATACTCTATCTCTTCTCATAGTACTATATCAAGATACTTTACTTGATGATAAGATTTTCTGAAAATGTCGTTATTTTTGATCTATAAATTTGACTATTTCATCTTTAATATTATTTTCTGGAAATTTCAATAATATTGTCTTATAGTTTTTATATCATATCATTAACTAGAATCTTTAAGCTTCAATTTAACATACATATCATATCTTAATTCTTAAGAATACAGTAGATATGATTTTTTTTAAATTTCGATATTTCTGATTTATAAATTTGACAATTTCTTCTTTAACACTTTCTTCCTGGAAATTTCAATAATATTACCTTATAGTTTTTATATCATATCATAAACTAGAATCTTTAAGCTTCAATTTAACATACATATCATATCATGATTCTTAAAAACACAGTAGATATGATTTTTTGAAAATTTAGTATTTTCTTTGATTTATAAATTTGACAGTTTTTTCTTTAATAAGTTTTTCTTGGAAATTTCAATAATATTATCTTATTGTTTTTATATCACATCATAAACTAGAATCTTTAAGCTTCAATTTAACATACATATCATATCATGATTCTTAAAAACACAGTAGATATGATTTTTTGAAAATTTAGTATTTTCTTTGATTTATAAATTTGACAGTTTCTTCTTTAATAAGTTTTTCTTGGAAATTTCAATAATATTATCTTATTGTTTTTATATCACATCATAAACTAGAATCTTTAAGCTTCAATTTAACATACATATCATATCATGATTCTTAAAAACACAGTAGATATGATTTTTTGAAAATTTAGTATTTTCTTTGATTTATAAATTTGACAATTTCTCCTATAATAAGTTTTTCCTGGAAATTTCAATAATATTATCTTATTGTTTTTATATCATATCATAAACTAGAATCTTTAGGCAACAATTTAACATATATATCATATCAAAATTTCAAAAAATCCGGACGATATGATTTTTTGGAAATTTCGCAATATTTTTGATCTATAAATTTGACAATATCTTCTTTAACACTTTTTTCCTGGAAATTTCCATAATATTGCTTTATAGTTTTTATATCATATCATAAATTAGAATCTTTAAGCTTCAATTTAACATACATATCATGTCTTGGTCCTCAAAAATACAGTCGATATGATTTTTTCAAAATTTTGTTATTTTTGATTCATAAATTTGACAATTTCTTCTTTAATAATTTTTTCCTGGAAATTTCAATAATATTGTCTTATAGTTTTTATATCATATCATTAACTAGAATCTTTAAGCTTCAATTTAACATACATATCATATCTTAATTCTTAAAAATGCAGTCGATATGATTTTTTGAGTTAGATTAGATTGGGTTGGGTTGGGTTGAGTTCGATTGGGTTAGGTTAGGTTGGGTTAGCTTATATTATATTATGTATTATGTTGGCATTTACATCATGGTCAAATAATACAACCTAACCTAACCCAACCCAACCCAACCCAACCTAACCTCGTCTTTTGACTCTAAGGAGGAGAAAATGCGTAATATACGAATATGTTGGCTTTAACCTCTTCCTTCCTGATAACAATACTTTAAGATCAGGAAGGTTATGGCAACCAAGGTGCAGCAATTAAATCAGTAACTTGCTATCCGGACATAGTGAGGAGAAGGTTGCAGTTGTGACTTTCAAAATAAATAAGTAAAGTAAACCTTTTTTGGGATCATAAGAAGAGAGCCAACCAACAATATCATACAACTGTCAAGACCATAGATATGCAGTATGAGGGAAACCACCAGGAGATAGTGTTGAGTTTAACTCATAATCAAGCTGGGAGAAAGCATTTCAAAAAATTTTAATTTTCGATCAACATAACTATAATTATAATATATTACATATATATATATTTTAATGTTTATATTGGCTCTAGGTTCGTTTTTAAAGTAGAATCTGGTCCGGGGGCGCTAAAAAAGAACTCCTCACGCTGTTAATAGAAACATAAGTGCGATTTTATGGGCCGTAACGCCGGTCCGAGTCTTTCAACATCAGTTGAGCCGCCGTTGTAGGAGCCGCTTCGGGGCTTCGTACAAAATTCTAATGGGCACAACCAAGCCGGACGCGTATCATCCACGTATTTAAGGGCTAGAACAAGACCACAAGAATGACTTATGTGCCGGTGACTCGTCTTTTACTGCGACTCAACCATTACAATTTATGTACCATTACAACGGATTTTTTTCTACACCCAAAATGGTTTTTTACGTTCTGTTTCTGTTTATTTACAGATGTGAACGTGAAATGAATAAAAAAAAATTAAAAAAAGAATAGGTTGTTTTAAACAAAGGTTTAAACATCACGGAAATGAATAAGAGAAGAAATATCGACGTTGGAATGACTTAAGATGCCTTCCTTAAACCGAGCCGTCATAGAAATCTCTATCTGAGATCGAGATCGACAGCTCTATCGGAATATCGGCGACTTCGACTGTCTCTTGTTACGAACGTGATTCTCTTGTTTTGATGACTGAAGGGTGATTGCTTTGTGTGGTCTTCATGTGCAATTAAAAAAAAGGGACGTCCATCATGATAATTTTTTATAAATTAAAATTCTCTTTTTCAAAATACTTCAGAAGCAAATGGTAGATATCAAAAATAAAATTTGATTGACAGATCCAACATGGAGTTTGTGGATATTGAATTACTTGCAGATTTTACCCTCCCCTATTTTGGTAAAATCCGAAACCCAACCCTAAAAGTCTTAGCCATTTTTGTTTTCGTTAAAACATTAATTTTAAAATTTACTTTTTGGATAATTGATCGGAAAACCCTCCGCGAAAAGGAGAAAACTCTTGTCTACAACGTTCCGGTATGCGTACTTCGCACCCTTCGTTCTCTTCTTCGTCAAAGGGAACCGGGGACGACCGGCGGGGTACTCTCCGCGTGCTTTCCTCTGCTCTTCTTTTCACAATTTGGCATTTGTACGAAACGCCATCCATCAACGTCAACAGTCGGGTTGTTTTCTCTCTCTCTCTGCCGAACCCTACCCCCCTTTCACCCTTCGTTCACCCCCCCAAAACAACCCCCGCGTGTATGGATGGACGATTTTTGTCATTTATTATTGGGAACCGGTCGAGCTGGCGATTGATTTTTCCCAGTGTGTGTGAAATGTAGTATGATGTGTTAATTTCAAATCGACAGTAGCGGTTTTTGGTTAAATATAACATAAAAAAATTTAATAATTAAAACATTATTATTAACGATCAAATTTTTCGTTTAAATTTCGTTATTAATGACCTTACATATTTGTTAAATGACTGTTTCCTCTTTTTCCTTCAACCCCACGTTACAAGAAAAGAAGTATCCGTGAAATTAGCTCGAATTCCTATCGACACACGTAAAGTGAAAACGAAAAGAAAAAGGACGAAGATATTGGTGATGCGAAGTTCGTCTTTTAAGGGGGCAACGTTGCGCAAAACCCGACAACAAGGTCGGTGGTGGTGATCAAAAAGAGACCTTGAACTGACCGTGTGGGTCAAGCTTGAATGGTTCTAACAAAAAAAGTACTTTAACAGCTGTTACGAAGAATTAGGAAAAGAAGTGGCTCTATAGAAATATTCACGTTTTAAAATTTTATGTTAAATTCATCAAGATTTCGATCCCCAAAGTGAGGAGACTTGCATTATGAAAAATTATGCAAATTGCTCCGATATCTTGGAAACAATTTGATATAAAAAAAAATAATACATGTATTTTTCGAGTTTGGCTTTGCAGTTTAATAGCGAAGGAGAAAATAGATACAGAATCTTTTCTTTGCTTCTAGAATTCTAAATATACCTAGATTTTGAAGTAGCCATGACTCCAGTGGAATTTTATGTCGTGGTAATATCTCCTTGTCCATTGAAGACGTCAAATTTCCAAGTTGACACATTCAGAAATTAGCAAATTTTGACACTATCGACGAGATTCCTTTGATCACTGGTGATGTATCTAGAAGAACAGCAAGACATTCGTAGAGGCAGAAATAAGCTTAGGTATATTTTAAAGGTTGGGGTGTCTCTCATAGTTGAGTTCTTGATTTCATAATTGGTTGGTTATTGCTTCCAAAAGGCAATTTATCAAGTCCTACAAAGGAATAAGTTCTTAAAGATTTCTCATAATTCCTTGCAAATGTGATAACTCGTGATTCTATGTCACCAGTTTAAAAATTTTTGCCAGGAAAGTTTAGGAATAGAAATAAACCTGGATCTAGAAGATGCCAGAAAAGCTAAAAAAAATTTAAAAGATGCCAAAAGCTCAGAAATCATCAAACTCCGGAAGGAAAAAATTGTAGAAAAGACTGTAAACGCAATAATAAAGCAGAAACATACCTTTATATGTGAC